CAGCGACGAGGCCCACCAGCGACCTGGCACGATGCCATGGGCACCCAGCAGGGCATGGGGGCCACCAGGGACCAGCTAGGAAGTCATGGGCACCCACTGGGGCACAGTGGCCACTAGGGACTTGACACGATGCCATTGGCACCCATCAGGGCATAGGGGCTGCCAAGGACCTTGTAGGATGCCATGGGCACTCATCCATGGGTGTCACCAGAGACTTGGCATGATGCCATGGGCACCCATCAGGGCACTGGAGCCACCAGGTATGATGCCATGGGCACCCACTGGGGCACAGTGGCCACTAGGGACTTGACACGATGCCATTGGCACCCATCAGGGCATAGGGGCTGCCAAGGACCTTGTAGGATGCCATGGGCACTCATCCATGGGTGTCACCAGAGACTTGGCATGATGCCATGGGCACCCATCCATGAGTGCCACCAGGGACCTGGGATGATATGATGCCATGGGCACCCATCAGGTCATGGGGGCCACCAGGGACCTGCTAGGAAGCCGTGGGCACCCACCAGGGAGCACTGGCCACCAGGGACCTGGCACGATGCCATGGGCACCCATCAGGGCATGGGGGCCACCAAGGACCTCGTAGGATGCCATGGGCACCCATCAAGACACAGTGGCCACCAGAGACCTGGCACGATGCCACGGGCACCCATCAAGGCACAGAGGCCACTAGAGACCTGACACAATGCCCTGGGCACCCATCCATGGGTGTCACCAAGCACCTGACACGATGCCCATGGGCACCCACCAGGGCATTGGGCCACCAGAGCCCTGGCACGATGCCATGGGCACCCATCAAGGCACAGAAACCACCAAGAACCTGACACAAAGCCATGGACACCCATCCATGGGTGCCACCAAGCACCTGGCACGACACCATGGACACCCATCCATGGGTGCCACCAAGCCCCTGGCACGACACCATGGACACCCATCCATGGGGGCCACCAAGCACCTGACACGATGCCCATGGGCACCCACCAGGGCATGGGGCCACCAGAGACCTGGCACAATGCCATGGACACCCATTCACAGGTGTCACCAAGCACCTGTCACGATGCCATGGGCACCCATCAAGACACAGAGGCCACCAAGCACCTGAAACGATGAGATGGGCACCCACCAGGGCATGGGGCCACCAGAGAGCTGGCACAATGCCATGGGCACCCATCCATGGATGCCACCAAGCACCTGGCATGATGCCATGGGCACCCACCAGGGCATGGGGTCACCAGAGACCTGGCATGATGCCATGGACACCCATCCATGAGTGCCACCAAGCACCTGGTATGATGCCATGGGCACCCACCAGGGCATGGGGCAACCAGAGACCTGGCACGATGCCATGGGCACCCATCCATGAGTGCCACCAAGCACCTGGTATGATGCCATGGGCACCCACCAGGGCATGGGGTCACCAGAGACCTGGCACGATGCCATGGACACCCATCCACAGGTGCCACCAAGCACTTGGCACGGTGCCGTGGACACCCATCCTTAGGTGCCACCAAGCACCTATCACGATGCCATTGACACCCATCCTTAGGTGCCACCAAGCACCTGGCACGACGCCATGGCCACCCTCTATGAAGGTCCCCATGGCAGTGCCCACCCCGCCGCGGTGTCCCCGGTGTCACCCACCTGTGAAGGGCCGGGCGCAGAGGCAGCGGAAGGTGCCCGCCCCGGCCACGCAGGGGCCCCCGTTGGCGCAGGGCCTCGACGCGCACTCGTCACCCTCCGTCTCGCAGCGGGCACCTGCGGGGACGGGCACACGGGTGGCACCGGGGACATGGTGGCAATGCCAGGTCTGGGGGGGGGTGGTCCTCAAGACGGGCATGGGGTCCCCAAAGGTGACAGTGCCATGGCACGGGGTCCCCCGGGTGTCCCACAGGTCCCCAGAGACGGTTAAGGGTCCCCACAGAGGTCTGGGTGTCCCCAGGGTGGCTGGGATGTCCCTGTGGTGATGGCAATGTCCCCAGGGTGGCTTGGGACCCCCCATGGTGGCCCTGGTGCCCTCAGGGTGGGCCCAGGGTGGCAGAGCACTCTGTGGCAGTCCCAGTGTCCCCAGGGCAGGTCTCAGTGTCCCCAAGGCGGTGCCAGTGTCCCCAGGGTGACCAGGTTGTCCCCAGGGTGACTGGGGTATCCCCATAAAAATCCCAGTGTCCCCATTAGGGTCTCCAGGGCGATTGGGACACCCCATGACAGTCCCAGTGTCCCCAGAGGTGTCCAGGTGTCCCCAAGGTGACCAGGTTGTCTCTAGGGCAGTGGGGACACCCCCGTGACAGTCCCGGCATCCCCAGGGTGGTCCAGGTGTCCCCAAGATGGTCCCAGTGTCCCCAGGGTGCCCAGGTTGTCCCCAGGGCAGTGGGGACACCCCCGTGACAGTCCCGGCGTCCCCAGGGTGGTCCAGGTGTCCCCAAGATGGTCCCAGTGTCCCCAGGGTGCCCAGGTTGTCCCCAGGGTGGTGGGAACCCCCCGTGACAGTGTTGGCATCCCCAGGGGGGTCCAGGTGTCCCCAAGATGGTCCCAGTGTCCCCAGGGTG